CGAGAGAACCGGATCCGAGAACTGACCGCCAACCTCACCTTCTCGTAGGTCCTAGGCCCATGGGAGGCCAGGATCAGAGAGGGGGCACCGAGTTCCAGGGCTGAGTGCTGGAGGACTGGGAAGGCGGAAACAAAACCTTCATTGCTCTTTGTTTTTTGTTTTGTTTTGTTTTCCTGCTAGAATGTGACTTTGGGGTCATTCTGTTCGTGCCGCAAGTGATCTGTAATCCCTATGAGTATATATATATACATATATATATTAAAAAACTAGCACGTGTAATTTATTATTTTTTTTCATCGTAATGCAGGGTAACTATTACTGAGCATTTTCATTTGGGTCTTAACTTATTGGAACTGTAGCGCATACATCAGTTCATTCATCTACCCAGCAATGTGACTTTTCCATGTTTTTCCTAACACAAAAGGTCTGTGTGTGGTTAGTCCATGAGCCCATGGCGTTTTGAATACATTAGTACTTAAAAGTACTTAAATTACATATATATTTAAAAAAGATTAAGAAAACCCACAAGCTTTGGGGGGAGGGGGACTAAGAAGCACATTACAATGTATCTTTTCACAAATGAACTTAGCAATTGTCCTTGGTGAGATGGAATATTGACGACTAATGCCTTGTAGCCTTTCCCTTGTGGTGCATCTGTGGTTTGGTAGAGTATAACAGCAACCTGTCCTTTTTGTGCATGTTCTGGTCGCATGTATAATGCAATAAATTCTGGAAACAAGTTCGCTCCCTCTGCTTTCTAAAATGAAAATTTGTTACAGCGGAACAGAAAGCCTCTGGTGAGATTGTCTTCCTGTTAACCTACTGGTTTGGGGCAGTTTGGGGTGGGGGGGAATAGAGAGAAGGGGAAAGGATGTGAGGGAGAAGCTAGAGGAAGCCTAGGGTGTTGAAATTTGGTCAGGAGGGGCAGTGATAATCCAGCTTGGGTGTTCTCTTTCCATAGTTGGGAAGAAGGGGAGTCCTCTCGCCCTAGCTCCCCAATGATTGAATTGAATTCTCAATGGGTATGAGTTTCCCTCTAGCTGGAGCCTGGTAAGTAAGTAAGTAAGTGCCCAAGCTACTTTTTCCTCAAAGCTCCCCACTTATGTGTCTGTCTTTCTTTGGTTTTGGTTGTTATTTTTAATGCTTTCAGTGAGGTCTTGGCAATTTCTGGCTGGCATGCCATCATCAGGGGCTGGGGTGAAACCAGTCTTGCCCACCTGGAAGCTGCGGGGCCAGGCCTCCATTACAGGAGCAAGGACAAGCACCTTAGCATTGCATCGGATCCAGTTCTGCCCCCCATTCCCTCATTTTCACTCCCATCCCAAGCGCAAGACAGCCAGGCCACAGCGAAGCAGAGGATGGGTGAGTTTTCCCATCCCACTTTGTCCTAGTTTCCTTGTGGAAGGATTTTATGCTCAGTCATTACCTTTTAGTGGTCCACTTGAAATTTTTTTTAAAGGAAGAAAAGATTTTTCCCCCAAGTAAATTCTCTCTCTATTTAATTACAAAATGCTAGTTGGAGTCACAGTATCTAGGAGGCAAGAACATGTGCAAAGGGTGCCTGAAAGAGAGTTTGCAAACAAACATGACTTCCCATGAAGCCCAGTGCTCCAGCTGCCGCCATGGCCCAGAAAACCCCAGCCTTCACCACTATGTGTACTGGAGGATCCTCAGCCCAAGAGAGTCCAGACTTAATCTAGTTCTGCCAGGGAGAAGGAAAGAGAGGCCTTGGGGAGAATTGCTGACAAAGAATCCCTTACCCCAGATTGTGCTTCGGTTTCAAAGGGTCTCCAACAGCTTCAAGCAGCTCCACAAAAACCCCTTCCTAAAAATAATCTATTTAGGCTCTACGCATTAGAGCCCTCATCCAGGGAGTCTTTGGCAGGCTCCGTATTTATTCAGAATTTTAAACTTCCTTCTCAAGACCGAGAACCTTTCCCAGTTCTAAGAACCCTTTTAGGGGAGCTATTTCCTAGGGGCGGGAGAGGGCGAGTTCCAACGAATGCCAGGCTGAGAATGCTGAAATCTATTTGCCCCAGACCTCCACTGGTTGGGCAGGAGGAGGGCAATTTTAACTTTTCCGTTTCCCGCACGATGCGGGGAGTGCCATTAGCTGTTGACAAGGGGCCATGTCTCAAGAGGAAAACCGTGCTCCAGGCAAAGGCAGCTCCTCTGAAACAAAATCAGAAAGCCATTGGCAAAGACAATCAGGATATAAGTAGCCATTTCCCCCCTTCCTTTCTCGGGCTCTAGGTGAACCTCCAAGGGTGCGCTGGGCAACTTGTAGAGCCAGGAATACGTCCTGTGCCGCCTACACCCGGCTGCTTTTGTCTCAGCTCCCAGCCAGGCTTCCGAGGCTTTGCACCATGGATTTGGGAGTGACAATGGGCATTTCCCTCAGATTCAAGGCTGCTCAGCTTTACCTCTGGGGGGGAGGGGGGAGGAATGGGAAAAGAGTGGCCCAAGGACCAGGACATTTTAAAGACCTCTCCAGCACCCACTTGGAGGCCTGCCTCTCAGTGGGAACCACGGGAAGAGGCCCTGCCTTGGGAGATGCGGTTCCCGCTAGCCTCTCGGTCGGGCGGCGGGCGGGAGCGGGTCCTGTGCTAGCATTTGGGTTCTGCCCTGTGGCGTGTTCTCTTCCAGGGCGTTTGCAGCAGCCCTGGAGAAGAGAAGGCTCCCTGCCCTCCACTGTCCGCGTGGTTCTGACTCGCCGTCCTGCCGGCCCTCCCGAGGGCAGACAGAAGCCTGGGCCGTGGCCGCCGTCGCGCCCAGCCCGTGGGCCGGGCCGCCCCAGCTCACCCGTCGGGCCACGGCGTGTGCTCAGCCTCACGTCGGGGGTGTGTGTGGCTGCGCGGGCGTGTGTGAGTGTGGTAGGGGGAGGGGGACCCTCCGAGCTGCTCCATCCGTCCGTTTTATTAGGGACACATTAATCTATAATCAAATACACCTCATAAAATTTTTATTGAAAGGCATAATATCATTACAAAGGTCTTCCACCTGTTTTAAACAACACGACAAGCTGTGAGAGCGTGTGTGTGGGTATGTGTAGGGAGGGGGTGGGTTTGGGTAGGGAGAGAGGCGCGGGGAGAAGAACTCCCCTCCGGCGCCAGGGGGCCGCCTCCGGAGCCAGCTCGCCCGGCCG